CTTATCTCTGTCAAAAATAATTGCAACAAGCTTTATTTATTGAAGCGCTTTTTTTTTCTATTTGTTCTCGTCTAGGCGATATTCGTCGTTTGAAATGAAAATCATACTTTATTAAATTTTTCAGGGAAGAAAACTATTCTATTACGGCTAGGATACTGATAATAAGTGATCGAAAATTTAAATAAATAGAATAATTTCGATCTATCGTTTACAAGAAATATATATTATTGACTGAATTTTGATGATTTAAAGCGTATTTCATTCAGTGTTCATAGATTGAAATATAAATAAAGCTTGTTGCAATTATTTTTGACAGAGATAAGTAATCGACCTCTTAGTAACCATTGTTTGAATCAAAATCTGTGTGTATTATAATGTCTACATGTTTTGATGAGACCATACTTTCTAACTACGCATCTTCCTATATTATTTAGTTTTAAAGTCAACTGACTTAGTTGAAGATGTTGAATAAGAAGTCATGAAATACGTTCATTCATTAATAAATATAATATGCATTCAATTACTAACCTATGCATTCGGGCAAGTTTGAGACACTGTTCAGATTTGCATCCATCATCTAATTGATCGGCAAATGCCATATGCGTATTGGCAACAATACCAAGACTATCAATAAAACAACAATGATAAAATCCTGAAGACAATCAAATAAAGCCTACTTATCGGCTTCAATATATTCAACAAAAAAGTGGCAAACATCATCAATAGTTAATTGCTTATTCATGTTCATTTGAGCTTCTTTTTCAGCTTCAACTGCTTGATCATGATAGTCGAATGGTTCTTCATTCGTTTGAAATATCAATTGAGGATCATTACTTATCCAAAATGTATCTCCATCAAGATCTCCACCGGACATTTCTTCAGGAGGAGGACGAGGTCCATCAATAGGAAAGACTATTACGTTAATTAATCCATGTAAACTAGGAACATCGACAGCTTCCAAACGACGAATATCGCCTAGACGAGAACAAATAGAAAAAAAAAGCGCTTCAATAAATAAAGGAATAGAGCGGATAAGACCCTTTCCTAGTCCAAAAAAAATTCAACTTTTTGCATTGCAACTATGTCAGGGGATACTCAGGAGCATTCTCAGACACTTAGTTTTCCGAAATCACTCAGTCAGGTTTTTTATACCTAGGATTTCCCACAGGATTTCTGAAAAACGTTTTATTTTTTAATTTTTTCAAAACTCACTGATAATATATAATCGACCACACTGATCACGAATATTCATATCAGAAGGGTCAAAAATGCTTTCGGAAGGAGTAATCTTCTATTTACCTTCATTTTCTTCCTTTCCGAAAAAAGGCTATTTCCTTGTTCTCCTAGCGAAGAAAGCACCGAAAAAACACAATATATAGTGATTCGGATGCAGAATTTTACGCTGAATCTGAATATACAAGCAGAAAAGTTATTTCAGTTGAAGCTTTTCTGAAAGTCGGCTAAAATCCAGGTTTTTGACGCTATTCGACGTAAATGATCTAGGCGGAGTTCCAGACAGACATGCAGTTGCATCAACAAATTTTTATTTGAAGGATAATTTTTCGTGCTCTATTTGATGATGCCAAAGAAGAACCGAAAAAAGTTGAGAAACAGTTTTTTCAGAGGGTATGCAGAAAACCTTTCCTAGATCCTTTGTGGTTGTAAACCAAATAACATCGCCATGATGCTCAGTGTGATCGAAAACCTACTTTCATGTGTTATTCATTACTTTTACTATTAATATTTGCTCAGTGAAACTTGGTTAACTGTACATGGAAATTTGCCTGAGATGGTATCAGGTAAGGAGAATTTCTTGTTTTTCCTGCTAATTATTAGTTTTAAAAGTAATGGAG